CCCCCCCCCCCCCCTAATCGTAATCAGGCTGGAGTCTTACAGACGGACAAACAGAAAAGCCGACAAACGACAAACTGACAAAGCAAGCCAGTGCTTTATAAACTAGAGAGGTGGCAACATGGCTGAAAAACTGCTCACTTCTCCAGAACAATTTTTCATGAATAAAGGGCTCTGTAATGTACACTTCACTACTCTAAATGGTGTGATTACGTTTCGTCGTCTGATACAACATTTTATAATTTCAAGGCTTGCATCGTTTGGTTATCATTCCTCATACTTGAAACCTTAACATACTGAGTGTGCTGAAACAATACATGCATTGCAAATACTCTACATAGAGCTGTCCAAAAAACCGATTTCGCTTTTTGTCACGTGAACATTATTTTTCAGATGCCGCCCTTGATGTCCCAAATAGCCAACCTCAACAACAAGAACTTGTTACAAAAGCAAAGTGATTACATGTATTAGACAAGAAAAATAAGATGTTTTGGCGCTGAAATGCCGACGACGATATTTTCTTTCTAAAATTCCAGTACCGTGCAATTATGAGTAACTCGTGACAAGCTGAAGTGTTAATAACTATTTTCATTATCCAATACATCGTCGGTGTTTTCCAGCCAATAAGATCGAGATTTCATTTTTCGCTTTGAATTTGGTTGTTTACAAATTGCTCCCTCTTCGTACTGCACAGATCACATCAGATCGCGATCCGTTTCGATTAGTTGATTGATTATACTGTGAAAATATGGTTGAAATGAAATGATTAGGTGGTAAATATCGCGATATGTTATGTCACCGCGTTTTTTGTCCTTCTGTGTTTGTGTTAATAAAGCTCCAATAATGGAACAAATGGAACAGTTCTTTGGTGATCGCAGCTTTTGTAACTCCACAAACTTCTGAGGTTAGTTACTGAAAGCAATAACAATGAAAAGCATTGTCCACTTTAAACGATTGAGTAAAAAAAGGTCGCTCTAAACTTTGGCGCTCGAGGGAAGTTTGCAATAGAGTACAGTCATTTGTCCATTAGAGAAAGAATGAGTTTGCCCTCAGTGAAGGAAGTTGTTCAGTATTCAGTGTGACTGCACAGTGTTACATGCGAGAATGCAGGATGCTGCTATGCCTGACGTTCATCGATTTGAAGGACCTTTGATATAGTCGAGACAGAGACGGTAATCAAACCTCTGAGCAACCAGGGTGTTCCGTTCCTACTCAACATTTGAGAATGCTTTGTGAGCTCCACCACAACTTCACGACTAGGATCTCGCCATTGCATGAAGAATTCAGGATCAACCTGACAAGAGGGGTTCGAGGTGACGATGCCACCTTGCCTAAAGTGAATCTCTTGAGATCATGCGCGAAAAGGCACAGGAGTGAAAATTGACAACCGCTACTTCCACCTCCTCCCCTTTGCAGATGACATCATGCTTAAAACACCGATCGTGGAGCAGACATAATGCTTTGACAGCGCTTGTGGAAAGGACGGCTTAAGGCTGAAGCTAATGAGGACTAACTTCATAAAAACGGATTGGTACCTGATGCTTCCTTTGCGCTGAATGCAAGGAATACTCCCGAGTGCTCTATTTACGTGAACCCGAAATTATAAGACAAAATCATGCGCCACCTCGTTTGGCAGATAAACAAAAGGAAACTCGTAGTGTGCGGAGCATTCAAGAATATCGAGGCAAAAATGAAAAAGGCAAAGAATACCCGGCACCGCTCCCAACGTTTTGACACTGCTGTCCATCCTGCTTTGACGCACGCTTCGAGAGTTTGGACTTCACGAAATCAGGATGAACATAACACTAGCGTCTTTCAACTCGTTCTGGAATTGACGACCCTCTGAATTTTTCTTTACACACAAGAGCAGAAGAGAAGCCGAAGTCCTGAGCTCCGTCAGTGAACGAAGAACAGGAATGCCGCTCTTCACAAAGTCAAAGATCTGGTGGGCTGGGCACATTATGCGATATCGTAGTGACTGCTTTACCACAGCGATCACTGACTGGATTCCTCTGAGCGTCAGACAAAACCAGGATGGTTGCCAGCGCGATAATCACACTTCTTTACGAGAGCTCTGAATAAAGAAACGCTATGCCTTGTCCTTCGAGCGAGGACGATTCACTGGACTACTCTGGCTTGCGGCGGAGACGAATGGAGACGTTACTGGCGTCCGCTCGAGAGAATGGTGATCAGCGAGACGGCAGGTTGTGCCGGTGATTTACTACATGCAAAAGTCATATAAACTGAAGCAACAATCATGGCTGCAAACACCATTTATCCAGTGTTCGGAATCTCACACAGTAAAAATATAGAGATCAAGATCAAACAAAATTGAACCATAGTCTCAACTCCTGAGTTTTCGATTTTTTCTGGATATTTTAGATGGAAGATGATCCGATTCACNCGAGCGAGGACGATTCACTGGACTACTCTGGCTCGCGGCGGGGACGAATGGAGACGTTACTGGCGTCTGCTCGAGGGAATGGTGATCAGCGAGACGGCAGGTTGTGCCGGTGATTTACTACATGCAAAAGACATATGAACTGGAGCAACAATCATGGCTGCAATCACCATTTATCGAGTGTCCGGAATCTCACACAGTGGAAAAATGGAGAACAAGATCAAACAAAATTGAACCATAGTCTCAACTCCTGAGTTTTCGATTTTTTCTGGATATTTTAGATGGAAGATGATCCGATTCACAGGCTTAATATATATTCTAGGCCCACTTCCAGGTGTAATGGTGACTACCAAGCACTTATCTCGTCTGATGCAGATATTATTCTATGCCCAGAGCCCACCTCTTGTAGCGGAGCCCACAAGAGTGACTGTTTTAGTGAAATCCGGGAGGTTTGAGCAATCATTCCCTTCTAACTAAAGTAGCCTGAATTCTATATTCAAGTATGAAGCCTAAGGAGCTCTCACAAAAGCTTCCTGTGTAGAAATATATATAAAATATTGGATCCCTTCAGTACATGAATCTATTTTTGCTCCGCAGTAGAAAGATAACAAACCATAGATAACAGTCAACTGTTTATTCAACAGTAGGTCTAACATACATTCACAACAACTTTCTTGACAATTACTGTCAAAAACCTTTGAAAAGTCGATAAAGAATATATCTAAGATGCGATTTTTATAGAAGGCTTCCAAACTATCCGTTAGAGACAAAGCAACGCAATCATATGAGATGGAGGGAATGTTCAACCAGACGCTCTGACTTCGTCACAGAAAGAAGGAAAAATCATTCAAGCCGGCCTAACTGGCGTGCAAGGTACGTCCTTTCACATGACATTTATTCCTATTCCAGGAAACGCATAGCTCC